ATCTCTGGAGCTAAAGTTACATGAGATTGTGAACAGCCAGACATAGCTGCCGAGTACTGGACTGGCTCCTCTGTGAAAGTTAAGCTCTCTTTCCAGTCTCCATTTTTAAGCAGACTTCTTGGCTGTTTCACCAGCTCTGCACAAGGTGGCCTCTCCCTCTGCCCCTGAGCAAGCTGTCCTACCATGGGACAGGCCAGCTTGCTGGCTGTCATGCTGTCCAGAAGGGAGGTCCCTTCGCTGGTTGACCAGGCACACCCTCTCTCTACAGGAATATTATCCACTGGCCTGGCTGCTGCCTACTACAGTGGAGGTGAAGTATGCAATCCCCTTCAACCTCCTTGCACTGGGAAATGAACAAAAGCAGTGATCTGTGAGCGGGCTTGGTGGGTGTGTGGCCTTTGGGGTAGCCTCTGCTTCGCCTTGTGTAGATGATACCAGCCCATGTCTTACATCTTAAATCTCTTGCTATGTTGTGAGGTCCTTTTGGAAAGCTCATCAGCCGCAGGGAGGAGTCGTAGGCCTCACCCTCCCTGACAAGGCTGTGTAGATCTACCCATCTCCTAGGTGGATTGAGGCAGAGTCTGGGATGCACATGGCAGACATCACCCCGGCAGAAGCACCTCCCACCTGAGCCAAAGCAAAGACTGGGCCGGGAGGGACATCCGTGGACACGTCACCTGGCTCTCATGGCCGAGGGGCTGAATCCTGTGTCTGCTTGCAGATAGCCTGGGCTGGAAGCTCTTCTATGTCACAGGCTGCTTGTTTGTGGCCGTACAGAACCTGGAGGACTGGGAGGTAAGATGGCACCCTTCCCTCCTGGAGGCATCTGTCCCGGTTACCTGGTTACTTTTCACTTTGCTTGTAACAGCCCCAGGCTCTAGAAGCTACTCTGCTGTTTTCACCAAGGTTCTGTAAGTTTTTGTTTTTTGTTTCTTTTGGTAGGCTTGCCTCAAACTCAAAAGTCAAAAGTAAGCCTACTGCCTCAGCCTTCTGACAGGCACAAATCTCCACACTCAGCTCGCGGGAGTTCCTTTTTCTGGGGTTGTTGCAGCGAGTCTGTATTGTCCTTCTACTGGGCTGACTGCACAAGATAGGGACCTGTGAGAACATTCTGCTAACTCACAGTTGGGCCAGCACCCAGGCCTTGAAGTTGAAGGGTTGGGGCTTCCTCTAACCAGCCAGGTCTCCCTGCAGGCCTAAAATAGCTGACAATAGGAATCAAGAGAACCTGAGCCGGGGAAAGGCCAGGTGGTAGCTTTGGGGGAAGCCCTCTCCTCAGTCTTGGCCTTAAAATGCTTGAAGCTGCTTGGCTTCTGCCTTTTGCTTAGTGGCCTCAGTGCCGTCCTGTGCTCTTGTTCTTTTCCTTACCCAGTACTGAGGGTTGAGCCTAGGGCTGCATACCTGCTGGGCCAGTGTTCGACCACCGGGCTAGATCCCCAGCCTGGTCTTGTTCTCATGGGGAGAGAGAGGGGCACCCACTCTACCTGCTTTCTCTCGTGTGCCCCTAACCCACAGGAGTACAAGAGGTCAGAAACAGAAGTTGCCTCTGAAAGCGAATCCAGAGCCTTTGGGTTTCCACTGAGTATCTGTGCCAGTGTGCATGGGGATGGTGCCTCAGCATCAGTGTGGTCCTCTCCCTGGAGTTGTGTGTGTGGCTAGCATACGTTTGTTTGCAGGAGGCCATTTTCAACAAGAGCACGGGGAAGGTCATCTTAAAGACATTCAGCCTCTACAAGAAGCTGCTGACTCTTCTCAGAGCAGGCCACGACCAAGGTAAGATGTGGGGACTTGCAGTTTGGTGAAGGCTTGGGGAGCATGGGCGACCTGGGTCCAAGTTCAGCTGCTCAGGGAATGAGGTCCCCAGACACATCCTGGCTTGCAGGGTGGGATCCAAGCAGACGGGCCATCTTGCATACTTCGTGACTCAGCCTGTTGGGAAGGATGGAAGCTCCTCAGCAGCTCTCTTAGGCTGGATGAGGGTGGTAGGAGTGGGTCCCTGTGCCAAGCAGACTAGAACAGAGCCATTCTGGTCTTCAGGAATGACTTGGCCACTCTTGGCCCAACTCCTGTACCTGACTGCTGTCAGCTACGCTAGCCCTACAGTTAGATGGTCAGAGGAAGCCTCCAGCCCTTGAACTCTGGGCTTGGGAGCTAGCCTGGCTGTGAAGTCCAGGTTCTCATAGGTCTCTTCCTGTGTATCCAGCCCACCTACTGTTACAGACATGTAGTAACAGCCTACACAGGCTCCTCAGCAGCCTTTAACGTGAGCACTTAGACTCCCGGATGCAGGCCTCTCACTGGTGTGGAGTGCTGGCAGTGTACAGCCGAATGTGGCACAGATAAGACCAGAGCTAGTTTGTGGGCTGAAGTTAGTGCACTGGCTGAACTTTCCCACAGGCACCAAGCCACGGGGTTGTCCCCATGTCATTGTGGCTGTGGGATACAGTTCCCAGTGGCTCTTGGGAAAGCAGTATCAGCCATGCATTAGGCAGTGGTTTTCCTGTGCAAAGAAATGGCGGGGATATCCCACTGAAGCTAGACAGGTGCTCCAGCCTTTAAGTAAAGCCAGGCAAAAAGGACAGCATACAGACGGCAGCTTAGCTGTCTGTTGCAGGACTGCTCCGGACAGCCAGGAACTGAAACTGCTCTCCGGACTGTAGCCTTATCCAGAAGCTGTTCTGGATCCACGTCCAGAATGTGGAATCACAGATGCGCCTGTTACTAATGCTGCTCCTACTGCTCAGCAGCTGTCCCACGGCACAGAGTGCGAGCCAAGAGGTGACTGCTCATGTGTAAACCCTTTTGTCCCCAGTGGTGGTCCTGCTGAAAGACATCCAGGATGTGAACGTGGAGGAGGAAAAGGTCCGCTACTTTGGGAAGGGCTACACTGTGGTGCTCCGGTTTGCAACCGGCTTCTCTCATCCCCTCACTCAGACTGCAGTCATGGGCCGACGCAGGTAAGGGCGGAATAGAGCAAGCCTGGGCTATCCCTCAGTGTTTCTCAGGGCAACAGGAGAGAGGCTGACCGTTCATAAACGGGGAATGGGGCTGAGGGGAGAAGTATGTGCTGCGGAACAGCTTTGCCGAGGCTGTCTGCAGGGGAAGCATCAGAACAGGGTTGGAGTCCATTGAGAGTAGGACTGAGGCCAGAGATACTGGGCCACTGGGAATGTTCTAGGCTAGCGCTCAAGCCCAGAGTTCAAGGGCTGGAGGCTTCCTCTGACCATCTAGGTGTATTGTAGGGGATGAGACAGTGTGGGTATTTTGTGGTGTGCTGTGGAGCTGCACCCTCTGCCAAGGTGACCTGCTTTCTTCATGGCCTAGCGATGTGGAAGCCATTGCCAAACTCATCACTAGTTTCTTGGAGCTGCACCGCCTGGAGAGCCCCTCAGAACGGTCACAAAGCAGTGACAGTGAACCGGACGGCCCTGGTGGCCAGAGCTGACAGCGTGGAATAGCTGTTGGTAAAGGCCATGTCTCCAACTGACTTGCCAATTATAAGGGTACAGGCAGACACTGGACACCTGCCTATGGCTCTCTTGGGCAGTTCCTTGGGCAGTGTGGACCACCTGTCTTTTGTTTATTTACGCTTCTACGCTTTGCAGAACCATGGGCTGGACCTCTTCCACAACCCAGAAAGGCTGCATCTATCAGGATGCAGGCAGGTGGATGCCACATCTAGGGGAGGGCAAGGTATCAGAAATTAGTGCCTTTCCCACAGGCAGACTGCAGCTGTGGCTTGGGCAGCACAGCCTGGTCTGAATAAGCTCACCCAAGGGCAATCTGAAGCATAAGATGCCAGGCTTTCCTCAGCACAGGCCTTGTGCCTGCCTTCAAGAGGCCTTGCCACCCAGGCTATTGCAGTTATGATTGTCTTCATAGCAACAGTGAGACACCCACATGCGTGTAAGCAGGACACACTCCTCCTGTGTATATTGGTGTCAACTTGTTGTTATAAATCCTGGTGTCGTCTCCCTGACCATCCCTCAAGGTGGACATCTCTTTTGCAAAGGCAGCTCTAGATGTCTGGGTGCTGCCTGGCTGCAGAACTCTCTGAGAAATCAGAGTGCACAGCTGTCAGGATCGGGAGGCTCTCCCTGCCCAGCCTGGGAAGAAGCTGTGGGGGGAGGAAAGGCCCCTCTTTTAGCACCCTGCAGCAGTTAGACCTGGCAGCTCCTCTACAGAAACTGAGTCTTGAAAAGCCCTGAGGAGCACAGGCATCTGACTCATACCATTATGAACCCCAGTCTTCAGAAGTGAGGATGGAAGAAGGTTCAAGGCCAGCGTGGGCCATTGCCTGTTCTAATAGAAGTTGGAACCAGCCACTGACGGTCCTTTTCTGCTCTCCTACTTTTCTTCTGAGTAGACTCAAGTTCCTCAAAAGTACAGTATTCACTAAGTTCCTAGCTTGGCTTCCAGGCCTGAATGCCATAGACCCCTGGCCTACACACAGCCTCTTCCCCCCCCCCCCCCCCCCCAAGCCGCAAACCTATGCCTGGCCAGGTAGAACTAAGAAACTGAAGTTTTATAGACAAAGAAGTCAAGTCAGCTTTGAGACCACTCTACCTGGGCTGAGAAGTTAGGCCAGAACCTTGAACAGGTGTCTGAAGTGACCGCCACCAGTCCTGACTTGGGGAACATGGTCCCTTGAACATGCCAAAGTGAGCTTTTCAAACGCTCAAGTTAGAGATTTCTCCCCACAAATGAAGAGTGTGAAATATAGCTTGTTTTCGGCTTGTTGCCTTCAGGCTCTTCAAGGTAATTTAGACAAGTCTGTCTCTTGGGTACTGTCCTATATCCCCTTCCTGTATTGCTGTGTCTCATCCCTAGGTGAAAGAATGAAGCTGCCTGTAAGCCAGGGTGGTAGTAAGAAGCTGATAAAAGTTTCTGTTAGTGGGACTTCTGCTTCTTCTGGTCTTTTTATTTCAGAATTAATAAAGCTCTACATGCAGATTGCAAATGTCCCTTTTTCTGTTTTCTGCTTTGCCCAAGGTGACTGTTCTTATAGTTGGGCCTGTCTGTGGTCCAGGGCTCAGAAGGAAGAGCACAAGCCCCGCATGGCTGGGTCACTGAGCTGTTGTCCAGGTTGATATGCAGGGCCACAGCCCTCAGGGATTCTGACCTGTGTCCCAGCCTGGGCGGGGCTGGGCTGGGGGCTGGGGGGCAGCCTCGCCCAAGTCCTGCAGCAGAGCCTGCAGTCGCTGCATGCTCGGGAGCACATTCTCCTCCAGCCACTCCTCTATGGCGTCCGGGTAGAAGGCCAGCTGCAGGGCTGCCTCCAGCTGCTGCACAAGGCTGTTCCACCTGCTCAGGAGGCTGAGGGCAACAGCAGCCATGATTTGACTTGAGGGTGTCTGCTAAGGTTCAAGTTCACATAGCCACACTCATATCCTCAGCCCCCAGCACCAGTACTGTTCCATGCCCCAGCCTAACACTGGGACAAAAATTAATGAAGAGCTGGACACATTTTAGCCATCAGAACCACACCACTGCCTGGCAATATTTCTCAAAACCATGCACGAGAAGTGTATTCTTATTAGTCTAGCTTAGAGTGGCCTGATCCCTAAGATGAACCGTAGGTTAGCCTGAGCATGTGGTCAATGCTCTGTCTCAGGCAAGGAACCACTCAGATTCTTACTGATATTAGGGCCAGTACTGCAGGCCTATCAATCCAGCCATGACCTAGAGCTGTAGGGCCAGAGAGCGTGTTTTCCCTTCACACTGAAAACCGTATTCATTTCACGGTGTGTTCATTAGGGGACAAGGTGTTCTAGGAGCGGAACACCGGGGAGGATAAGATGCTGCCGGCTACCTGAGTGCCTCTGGCTGGATGTGCTGGATCATGACTGGGTGAATAAGCTTCCTCCTGCGATGGTAGGGACTGAACCAGCCAGTGACATACCTGGAGCAAACCCAGACAGTGTCAGTGGGCCAGTAGTGGCTTTTTAAGTCCTCTCAGAAGGCCTTTGTAAAGGAGAAATGTGGGGTTGCTTACCGGTTCCTTTCCAGAAGCGTATCCACAGAGCTGCGCAGGTGAAGACTAATTTGTGTGACGAGGGCATGGATGTCACTGCCAGGGAAGGAGCCAGCTCCCTCACTGCCAGAGAGTCACACTGAGAACCGTGGTCACCCGAGGGAAGGGTGAGGGGATGTCAGGGAGGGTGGGATTACCTCACAGCATCCATCATTTCCAGGCTTGAAACCCCAAGGAGGCGCTCCACTCCCAGCTTCACGTCCTCAGCGAAGCCTCCTGCAACCACCCACGAGCAGAAGCGGTCAGAGACCGGCTAAGCTTTGGGTGCTACAGGGCGCCCCGGGCAGGCCAGCTAGCAGCTTTCCATCGAGCCCATGAAAGGAATCTGTTCAAGATCCCTGGCTCCGCCCCGGGCTCACTGCACAGTCCAGTGCACGTGTCCCGGCTCAACCAAGGGCAGAGTAGACTGACACGAACTGCTGGGGCAGACGCACCCACAGGTCAGCACAAGCAGCTGTGGCAGGAAGCCACCGACAGGGTTCCTAGCTCTGCATTAGGGGCCCAAGCGCCAGTACAATCACTCTTCAAAAACAGGAAACGCTAAAGCCATCACTACTGACATCAGTGCCTCTGCAGTGTTGGTGAGGCCGTTTGTGCTTCTCAGTTCATTGGTTTTCTGCTCATTCTAGACAGGTTTCAGAGAACAACTGCCAAGGAAAAAGCTAAAAGAAAACAACTTCTACACCTTTCTCCACCCCACAGCTGCGGAACGTTTCGGGGCCTTCTTTACATGTGGACATCCCGAGAGCTGTAGACCTTACAGTTTTGCAGTTTAAACGGGCACGGCTTGGTTCACCACGGCCCCAGGGCCCACACTTGTGCGGACCAGTGCCCCGCCTGTCTTCTGCAGTTAGTGGTCCCCTCAGGGTATGGAGCGGTGGTTAAGGGGCTCCTGCAGCCACAGGGCACCCAGTTCTACAGTCTGCCTTACAGCTATCGGGACACTTCTGCAGCAGCAAGAACCCTGTACACCTGCATCTGAAGCGTGGATTTCTTACGTAGGTTTTCTGGATCTGTGGGGCACATCCCTCATAACCTTCCAATCTACCAAAGGCTCAGGCTGAAGATCTGGGTACAGGCAGTCCTGCACCAGTAGTAGTCAAGCAAGTGGGCAATCTAGGAATATGAGCCTTCTTCAGTCCCATGAAGAACCGCAGTCCACACAGCAGGGCAAGCATAGGGGAAATCAGCACCCTGGCCTCCTTTCTTCCTGGCTAAGAGTGGGTAGGGGGTCTAGAACTGTTGGCTGGGACGTACCATGTACAAGTGTCTGGAGACAGGCAGCCAGGGATGGGATTCCCACAGGGAGCAGCTCACACAGCACAGAGAAGTGGTCATACCTGCGTCCAGAAGAAGAGGAGTCAGCTCCTGGGCTGGGAACCACTGTGGGCAGCATGATGTATCCCATGCCATGGCTCGGGGTTTTCAACGCGGGCTCCAGGTTACAGGTCATGGAGATTTTGCATTACATCTGTTAAGATGCCCCCAGGGAGGAGCCTGAGCAGGGGAAACAGGCTCTGAGCACTTGGGTCCACTCCACAGCATACACTTGGGGTTGAGCTTCTGTGGAGCCTTCATTAGCCACTGTCCAGTACTGGTCTGCTTCCTGGAAGCTCTTCTGTGGCCTGCATCCTGGGCCTCCCTCATCTTTCTCTCAAGGCCCCAGATTAGAGTGGGCAGCTGATCCCCCAGGGCTGGGCAGAGCGCCTCCCTGTGGCCTGGCCTCCATATTTCAGCTGTGTGGCACACAGAGGTTGACAAAAGGGCCAAGGCCAGTGAAACTCCCATCACATTTCCTTTATCTCACTTTCCAGTGCACAGAAAGGGCTTCACTCTGTGAGAGTCTTGGTTTAACTCACACCCCAGTTCACTCCCCCAGGGCAGCAAATGCTTGATAAGGCTCCATGAGCCACCTCGAACCATCTCTGAAGCCGGTCAGTGGCCATGTACTGAAGCCATGAGCAACCCCATAACCACCCTAGACAGCTGCACCTGGTGGAGAACCTTGCTCTGGGGTCACACTCTGGAACCTATGAAGGCCCCAGAGGGACATCTTTCCAGCTCTTCCTGATGGAGTTGCCAGCTTCAGCCGGTCCAGCTAAAAGGTTAGAACCTGATACTAGGACTTAGCTAGAACCAAGGTGTGGGTTCACCCTATTTTTTAAAGAACAAGGACTAATCTTCATGCCTGGCTACACATCACATGAGATATGCAGTATCACTCAGGACATGCAGACCACGCAGACTAGAAGGATGTATGCTTGTGGCTCTGAGTGCTCAGTGTCTCCTCAGCAGAGTTAATGAGGGAACCACAGAAGCATGAAGAGCATGATTTGGGCAGGGGCCAGGCCAACACTAGGCAGGCTGCCATCTTGAATGACAGCAATTGTCCTCGCTCCCCACCCCCAAGCCTCTGAGAGCGTACCTTTGCCAGCCAGTCAGGATGATTCCTTGCAGAGTGTCCGCTGGGCCACTGCCTGCAACCTGCAGCCACTGCTCGTGGTTTCTGACGTGGTGCTCAACAGGAGGCAGGGCCTGACTAGCCCCCGTGGCCCCCTTGAAGGCACTGGCAGCCCACAGTCTCTGGAAGCCACACTCCTGGTACTTTCCCATGAGGGAGACTAGGCAAGAAAGCAAGTAGAAGAGCAGCTCTCACAGAGAAGACCTCAGACACAGAGCAGCAGATGACACACCTATCCTAGCAGGGAGGAGACTCCAACCATTCCCACAAAGTCTGTGGTTTATCACTCATTAGGAATAAACACTTCAGGAAGAGCTGGAAAGGACCCTGGATGATCTGGAGTCAGCAAGGGATCTCCTACCAGGACAGGCAGCTTTGCATGGCCTTCTGGTCCATGCTGGTCAGCCACACTAATGAGGTGTCGGCTAAGCTAATGATTCCCAGGCTGAGTGATTCAGGTTACAGCGTTATGAAGGAGAGACATGCAGGCACATGCACCATGAGGAAAGTACTGTGAGCATACTGACTTTTGCTGTGGACATCAAGGTCAGCTCCATAGTCCCAGAGCACAGGCTCTACCAGTTGAGGCACCTCAGATGCTGTCAAGAGAGCAAGGTCATGAGTGTAGAAGGACCACTCAGATCACACCCCTGCTTCTTAGACATTTATTTTGATTTATTTTGATATATATTTGCTGCCCAGTCTAGCCTTGAACTCCAATCCTCTTGTCTCAACTTCCTAAGTACTAAGATTACAGTCGTGTGACATCATGCACCTTCTTTTCATGTTAAAGTGGGAACACAAACCGTCTTCTTGGGTCTACTGTTTTAAGAACAGCTTGCAGCTGGGCTAGGCTCTTGGCCATAAACACCAGAGCTACAACTGAAGTTTGTAGCCACCTGCTTTTGCGAGGAGAGACTCCTAAGCTCTTCTCAAAGCCGCTGGCCTTGCAGCCTCAGGGCCTCGGGGCACATCTCTAATTGATTCTATCTCATTAACACGAAACATAACTAGCCTCCCACAGTGCAGTACAGCTGGCCCTTGATCTCGTCACCGAACCGCAGGGTTCAGTGGTGCTAGATGATCTGTGTAGTACCATCTCCCAGGCTGGGGAAGATACTCTTCTGCCCTGGTTGGCCACTGAGAGCACTGGACGCCCCATGGCTCCTCTGGGCCTGACAGCCGCCAAACCAATTCTGGCGCACACCCCTGCAAGGCTGTGCAGTGACTTGGAAGGATTAAGTGCAGCATTTTCACTCAAGCACACAGTAAGAGCTCACTTCCAAGCCTCTGGAGCAGGTCTTGGGCAGCCACCTGTCAGCCCCCATCCGCACAGGCCCTGCCAACCTTTGAGCTGTTCCTGGGGGATGTCCCGCAGCATGTCATCCCACACTAAGGGTGTTGTGCCAGGGTACTGGGCCCACACATGGCTGGCCACTGCCTGCATGTGGGACAGGCACAGTTTCACCAGGCTGTTCTGTTCCTGCTGTAGCCACTGTTTTGAGGTCTCCCCCTCGCCCAAGTAGTAGACCTGGGAGGAAGAAACAGGGTGGGGTTGAATCCGTTGCCATCCTTACGTCTTCAGGGTCTCCACCTGTCCTGAATCCTTGGGTGGCTGCAAGTAAAGAGGGAACTAAGAAACTCGGCTTCCGTAGTTTCCACAGGAAGACTGCCTGTCTTAGATGGAGTCACTTAGGGCCAGTTCAGAGCAGCTCTGCTCAGATCACTAAGAGGCGGGGCAACCCTATGACCTCACTGAGGCGTGGGTGGAGATGGGATCCACTATGGCATGGCTGTTCCTGACATGTGGTAATGCTGAAGAGCCCTATCCTACACTCAGAATGGGAGTGAAGAAGCCAGGCCCAGAAGGCAACATGTGGCATAATTCCACCTATGAAATGTACGTACACACACACACACTTTTTTTTTTTTTCTGAACAGGGCTTCATATACAGATTATAATACATTGTTTTATCATTCCGCCTCCTTATTTTATATTTTTAATGTTATGTGCATTGATGTTTTGCCTGAATGTATGTCTGTGTGATGGTATCAGATGCTCTGGAAGTGAAGTTACAGACAGCTGTGAGCTGGCATGTGGGTGCTGAGCATTGAACCCAGGTCTTCTGGAAGAGCAGCCAATGTTCATAACTGCTGAGCCATTCATTTCTCCAGCACCCCCCCTTCCTTTCGGAGAGAGGATTTCATGTAGCCTATGCTGGCTTGTAATTCCGTATGCTGTAAAGGCTGCTGGGTTACAAGTGTGTACAATCACACCTTTCGGATTTCCTTATTTTGAGACACCATGGCCCAGCTGACCTAGAACTAACTATGGAGCCCAGGATGGTCTCAAATTAATGGCAATTCTCTCCACAATCCTCCAAGTGCTAAGATTACTGATGTCAGCCACCATGTCCAGCTTTGATGTCCTTTTAAAAGTGGAAACTTCAGGGTTGAATGCCTTTGTGTAAGACTCCCTAGCCCTCCCACATGTCTGGAATCAAGCCAGAGAAGCAGAAGGGTAGAGGCTAGCCTTTGAGGCGGCTAGATAGGAGGATACAACATGGATGTCACAGAGGGGCACTTTCCAAAGTCAGTGTTTCAAGATCCAAACACACACTCCCCCTCTCAAACCTCCAACTGCACTTCCTGGGCCGCCACAGTCTGAAAAGGCATGAATTTGCTCCTGGCTGGTTTGGCTCTGGTCCTGCAAGAGGAGGAGGTAAAGAAGCCTGTCCCTCTGGATGATACTGTTATCTGGCATACAGGACACCCGACTTGGGCTTTGCAGGACTGCCCTGTGCCAGGCAACACTCCTAGAATATCATCTAAAATGCTGCCTTCGCAGGCCTATCTCCTTGGCAAATCCCTGCCTTTATCCCTTAGTATTCAGACTACTTCTCTACCTAAAAGAATCCACAGGGCCTGGCATGGTGGCACATGCCTATAATTCTAGTGTTTGGCAGGATGAGGCAGAAAGATCAAGAGTTCAAACCAGCTTGGATGATGTAATGAGACTGTATCTCAAAAAAAACAGAGTTTCTCGGTGTAGCCCTGGCTGTCCTGGAACTCACTCTGTAGACCAGCCCGGCCTTGAACTCACAGAGATTTGCCTGCCTCTCCTCCCCTGTGATCAGACTAAAGGCACGTGTCACCACCTCCTGGCTATCAATTTTTTTATTAAATTAAACCAAACCATATCAAAAGAAAACAAATAAAGAGGAAGCCGGAGAGATTGCTGTGGTTAAGAGCTTTTCCACATGAGGAAGGCCTGTCAGCACTCACAAAGGGGCTCACAATCATCTATAATTCCAGTCCCAGGCTACGCTGACACCCTCTTTTGGCCCCTGTGGGCACCAGGCAACACAGACATGGCACACAGGCATACATGCAGGCAAAATACCTATACACATAAAATAAGTAAATAGATAAATACAAGAAGGGAAGGAGGGAGGGAGGGAGGAAGGGAAGGAGGGAGGGAGGGAGGGAGGAAGGAAGGAAGGAAGGAAGTTATCTCATGGCTTTGAAGAAAAGAGGCTGCAGACCTTGAGATTGAAGACACTCACCTCATCACAGCCAATGTGGAGCCACCGGACACCCCTGTGCAGCTCCAGAATTTGGTCAATCATAGCTTCTACCAATTCCAGAGACTCAGCCTCATGAGGATTGAGGGTGTTGGGAAAGAGAGACACTTCACGGAGATGTGAAAAGGCTGCGTGCTTTAGCACAAACTACAAGACAAGGAAAGAGGGACGCTGGTGCCCAAGCACCCCGGTCCCCTGCATGTCCTTGGTAAGAGCCAAGCTTCTGCTGCTTAAGCTGCCAGTGTGCCCGAGGGCTTCTGACTCTGGTGAGCTGGGTTCTGAGCCCTCTAGCTGGTTCCTCCCCCTCCCCATCTCTCTGTGATGTTGGGACTTTAACTCAGGGCCTTGCACATGCTAAGTAAGCTATCTTCCACTAAACTCGATCTCCAGCTTAGTCTTTTTACTTACAAGGGTGTTTTTCTTGTTAGAGTTAGCAGTCTGTGCAGGACACGTATCTAGTGTCCGCAGACGCCAGAAGCAGGACATCAGATCCCTTGGAACTGGTAGGTTTGAGCTGCCTTGTGGTTGTGGGAACCAAACTCAGGTTCTCTGAAAGAACAGCCAGTGCTCCAACGGCTCTAGAGGAGTGAATCAGCTGTATCCTATACCTACTGAATCAACACCAGGCTGCTTCTCAGCTGTCTGTCTTACCTAGGAGAATAATCTGAGCACTGGTAAAAAGACTCAGGTAGAAACCAAAAGCCAGCCTGCCTTCCTTCCTTCCTTCCTTCCTTCCTTCCTTCCTTCCTTCCTTCCTTCCTTCCTTCCTTCCCTCCCTCCCTCCCTTCCTTCCTTCCTCCCTAGTGAAGCTGCCATGACCAGGAGCTGTGCCCTCTGGCTGCTGATAGGTTAGTGCTCCTGAGAACAGGGGTTCAGGCAACAGGTCAGCTGCTGCCGCTGACCCTGTCAGCCTTTGTTGTACATTGGAGCCCAAGCCCAGTCTCTGAAGCTCACACTCATGCCAGGAATTTTCATTCCTCCCACTCACCTCCATGTGTCCAAATGTCTGCACCAAGGGAACAACTTCCAGCTCACTGAGTCTGGCCAGGCGCAGGATCTCTGTAACTTCAGAGGGGCTGGGGAGGTTAAGAGCACACAGAGGCTTGCATCAGGCTGGATGGCGCAGCACTTTCGCCCAGCCCAGCCCTTTCTTGCCCCTCTTCATGTTCTATGAAGAGCCATCCTGCACAACAGGGGTTGGCAGACTGGCCCGAGGGCAAAATTCATTCCTGTTGTTTTCGTACAGCCCTTAACCTTCGAGAGGATCCCATCACGCCCATCCCCCCTTCCTTAACTGCAAAAGACAATCAGATATTCACTGTTTAGAAAACAGCAGAGCTCAGAGGGCCCTCCAGCTGGGCAGGTGCACAGAACCGGGATACCCAGAGTCAAGCTGCCCTCTAGCGTGGTGAGGGCTTCACATTCCACCAGCAGGAGCTTGCTTTTCCCACTGCCACACACCTTGCCTTTTGTTTGTTTGGGTTTTCCTGAAACAGGATGGAAGCCCATGCTCCTGCCTGAGCCATCCAAGGGCTGGCACTGTAGGCAGTTATTATCATGCCTACCTGAAGAAGCAGCAAGGATTGTATCTCTAGTCCCCTGACTTGCCTAGGATCTAACCCAATACCCTGTGTATGCGAAGGAAAGACTGTACTACTGAGCCACGCCCCCGGCTTCTCCAAGTCAGTAGCTAAAATGACACTGCAGAGTTGTTTTAATCTTGAATTCTGTGACAGACTTAGTATTCCAAGGTTAAAATCCAACTGTGAGAGGTGGGGCGATCACTCAGAGTTGAAATGCCTGTTGCAGAAGCAAGAGAACTGGAGTTCAGATGCCCAGACCCCAGGGGACCATGGGTGGGCACGGTGGCCTCTCTGTGTTTCTAGTGCTTGGAAGACACAGACAGGAGACACCAGAGCAAGCTGCCTTCCAGACTAGCCAAAAACAGTGTGTGATGGCCCCAACCAAGATGTCCCTTCAGTCAATGAAGTGGAGAGTGATACAGACTTGGGATGTCAGCTTCAGGCCTCACATGTACTGGCACACATGTGCATCCATACATATGAATGCACACGCACTGCACACCCCCCCACATGAGAAAACAATCAATGTGGCCTTAAATGTAGCCCAGTTCCAGATGCCCCATGACCTCTTACTCTTCCTGGGCTTTCTTACTCTTCCTCTGAGCCCTTTCTGGCCTTTGATGTACATATTTTGCTTAAAGAGGTATTTTCTGCACATGCGTGTGCTGAGTATCTGTACTGTATAATGTGCATGCAGGAGCCTGAGGAGGTCAGAAGAGGGCAAGGGCTCCCCGGCCCTGGAGTCACAGGCCAGCCACTGCTGAGGACTGAGAAACAAACCCAGGCTTCTGTGAGAGCAGTAAGCGCTCCTCGACACGGGTACTGTGGTGGTAGCTCTGCTAGCTTACACCCCAGCTATGCTCTGTACATGTTGTTGCTCTGACCCAGGCGTGGGATGTAGGACTGCTTCAGACTGTCCACAGCAGCCAGCTATTTGCCTCACACGGGCTCTGGCGGGGCATGACTGTGCCAGCTGAAGACAGTTTAATGCGGGGACTCTAGAAAGGGTATAAAACCACCAGAGCCCCAAGAGAGGAGGCACGGCTATTCCTCCTGCTCCTGCTGGTTTAAGTGGTTGGTAAGAAATTAAAGATATCCTGATGAAGCAGAGATTGGACTTGCCCCAAGTAACTCAATGCCCCTAATCAGCAGAATGTAGTCTAAAAAGACTCAACACCCCCTCTGCCTGCTAACCTTCTGTCTTCCTACCTGTTGGTGTGTTGGAAGGGACTAGGGTGGAGAGGGGTAATAAATATGATAACCCAAATAAAGTATGGTAAAAAAAAAAATGCCTATAAAAGACATCTCTCTAGCCTCTACAGGTTTTACTTGGAGCAGGAAGGATTGTAGGAGCCAGGGGGTCAAGGACACCACAAAAACATGGCACCACAAAAAAAAAAAAAAAACAAAAAAAAAAACAAAAAACAAAAAACAAAAAACAAAAAAACAGAGTCAGTAACCAGGGCCCATAGCGAGGCCAAACAGCAACCAGGGAGGGGGACCGTACAGGTCTGACCTGTGTCCTCCGCATCTAGGTTATGGGGTTTTGGGTTTTGGTTTTGGTTTTTCAAGACAGGGTCTCTCTGTGTAGCCTTGGCTGTCCTGGAACTCACTCTGTAGACCAGGCTGGCCTTGAACTCACAGAGATCCACCTGCCTCTACCTCCCAAGTGCTGGGATGAAAGGTGTGTGCCACCACTGTCCGGCTGTAGCTTCATTCTTGTGGGACTTCTAACAGTGGGAATGGGGGCTGTCTCTGAGTTTTGCTTGCTTTTAGGATCTTTTTTTTTCCTACTTGGTTGCCCCGTCCAGCCTTGATATGAGGGTATGTGCCTGGTCTTATCATAACTTGTTATGCCATGTTTGGTTGATATTCCTGGGAGGCCTGCTCTTTTCTGAAGGGAGAGAGAGGAGTGGATGTGGGGGAGAGGGGAGGTGGGCGGAGAGGAGGGAGGGAAACTGCAGTTGGGATGTAATATGTGAGAGAATAAAAAATCAAAAAATTCCTCTGAGTGCTTTGCCTGCATTTGTCTGTATACCACATTTTTAATATGGGAGGTCAGAAGAAGGTATTGGATTGCCTGGAAGTGGAGCTGCAGGCAGTTTTGAGGTGCCATGTAGAACCTAGGAATCAAACCTGGGTCTTCTGAAAGAGCACTCAGTGCTCTTATCACCTCAGCCATCTCTCCAGCCCAATGTTTTATTTTTATAATGTGTTTTAGGTTTGTTTGTTTGGTTTTTAAGACAGAGTTTCTTTGTGTAGCCTTGGCTATCCAGGAACCGGCTCCATGGACCAGGTTGACCTCAAACTCAGAGGTCCGGCTAGGATTAAAGGCAAGAGCCACCACAGGCAGGTTTGTTTCTGAGACAGGATTTCAATCTGCAGCCCAAGATGGCCTTTAACTATCAACAATCATCCCGTCTCAGCCTCCTAAGTGTTGGGATTACAGGTATGAGTCACCACACCTGGCTACACATTTTAATTCTGAACCAAGTTATATACACAAAGATGCTTAGAAAGACAGAAAAGTGAAAAAAAGGCCAGAAAAAATGTAAAATGTTATATTCCAATTATCCTACCCTTGGTTCTGCACATGCCTTCCTTGTTGAAGGCCCTCCCCATCACTTGGAATTCCCTGCTAGCTTTGATACCTGTATGCATGCTCAGCCCTCAGCAGCCTCAGGCGGCCCTCATAGGGAAACATGTCTTCATACTCAATGAGGAGGCCATTTGCACCAAGAGCATGGAGCCAGGGGAAAACCTGGAAGGAGACAGAGGTGCTGAATGAACAACAAGGACTGCGATGAAGTGTGCACCTTTTCCTTCTAGGGTGTGGAGGGCGGGAGCTGAGACTCACTCTTCTCTCTTGCAGACTTCAAATCTAGAGTGTTTGCTGATGTTTGCCAGACACATTCTTGTTTAACAACAGGAGTTATTGTTTCGCACAGGAGTGTCATGTGTCTTTTATAGCAATCAACAAGGACTGCTGGTGGTTCAGCTGAGGGAGGACCTGGGACAGCTGGGAAACTATTCTGGAGCCAGGCCACAGGGGTCTATTTCACAAGAACCCGTGTGCCAGAGCAACAGGGGCACCGGGAACTGCACACACACACACACACACACACACAACCTCACCCTGACCCACCTATACTTCCCCAGGATCGGACGGATCATCCCTTCCCAGCTAAGGTAGGGTTCAACGTCAGAGCTCCTTCCTCCACCCTTCCCTATCTTCAAGGGGTTTTAGGGCCTGTCCATGCCTACTATGCAGAATAACTGGGTGGTTTTTTTGTTTTGTTTTTTTCTGGTCTGAGATCAAGGCCGGGGGGGGGGGGGCACAATGTAGACACTAATGAGGGGGCCTCTATCTGTATTAAAACAGCTCTCAATCTCCAATCAGTGCTCCAAGTATTTTCTGTGATGCAGGTTTTAAGTAAAGTTGTGAAGTATGCTGAATCAAGTCAGTTCAGGACTGAAATTTAGCTGCAGATGAGTCACAAAATGGGTATTAAGGCAGTACAAGTCACAGAGGCAGCTGACCATGGAGAGAATATAACCTAATTATCACAAAGAAATTAAGTGCAATGACGATGATGCTGTCTAATTTCCCCAGTGTTTTTTGTTTTGTTTTGTTTTTAAACACACATTGGTGTTTCCCTTGCATATTTATCTGTGTGAGGGTGTCAGATCTCCTGGAACCGGACTTACAGACAGTTGTGAGCTGCCATGTGAGTGCTGGCAATTGAGCTCTGTGGTGTCTGGATATGGCTTTGCTTATTCCAGCTTTGGAATCTATGGAGATACCTAACACATAAATTTTACTGTTCATTACATGTATTTATTTTATGTGGTGTGTGTGTTCCAACATGCACGTGGAGGTCAGAGGACAACCTGCAGGAATTGGTTCTCTCCTTCCATTACATGAGTCCTAGAAATAAAAGTCAGGTCATCAGGCTTGGTAGCAGCACTGTTACTGCTGAACCATCTTACCAGCTCCCCATCACCTCTTTTCTAAGACAATGTCTTCTGTAGTCCAGGAGGTCTTGAATTTGCTCTGGGCTCAATGCTGGCCTTGATCTCTTGAACCTCCCGCCTCTACTCCCCAAGTACAGGGATTACAGATGAAGAATGTTGAAGAATGTATTGGTATTCTAGGATTGACTAGAAACAATTACAAATGAATAGCTTCGAATAACAGGATTTTCTGTCATAGTTCTGGAGGCCAGGAGTCCCACATTCAGGAGCGATAAGGCACACTTTCTCTGAAGGCTTCCTGTCTCTTGTAGCTTCTGGTAGTTAGAACCATCCATCATAGTCACTGACTTGTGGCTGCATCAGGCCAGTCTCTGCTTCCATTGTTACAGGGAGTGCTTATGTCTTCTCTCACCTTCCCTTTAGGCCCAATTTTATGTTTAAAGTCCCCTCTTCTACTGGAGTTTGGATCCCTAATACTCATATAGGAGCCGAGTATGGTGGGGTATGCCTATAACTGAGCACTGGCAAGGCATAGACAGGCAGATTACGGTTTACTCTGACTAGTCTATCTGTCTGACATGTGTTAGTGATTGATAGAGGAAGACGTGTTGCTGACCTGTGGTGTCCACATGGACACACATGACCGAGTGTGTAGTGTGCTCACTCGCCCACACACAAGCCGCTTTTCTTATTAGGCACACAGAGATCCAGTGTGCCCTCATCTTAACTGGTCAACTCTCCAAGGACAATTTTCAGGTAGGGTGGACCTGAGCTTAGCTTTTTGGTGGGTACAATTCAGCCACAACAAAGAGATCATGGTTTCTTCTGTTCTTTGTGCCACCCTGCTTGTCCTGGCTGGGAAACTGGGAGAAAATGAAAACCCTATGCTCTGTCACCACCTTGCCTATCCACAGGGCCTCAAAGCATGTCACCTGTGCACAGGTCCGTGGAGTAAAAGGTGATTCTTTAGAGGTGAGTCCTTACCTCAGAGAGATAGGAAACCTTTGGGGGTGCTCCTTTAAGGTCCAGATGAACGAATCTCATCTGAAACGGCGTGTCACACGACATGCTGGTGTAGCAGGGTCTCTGCCTGTGACCTCTTCCTGGTGGAGAGAACTCAGTTACAGACAGGAGCAAGGGCATCCCTCCCCTTCTTTCTTCAGTCCTGATACCAGCCAATATCAGGAGAAATTCACTTCACTAATGTGAAAACGAGCAAAGAGTTTACTTCCGTATTTACAGTGTTTGTGAATTGCCCTGAAACGGGAAGGCATTAATTTCTTTATGAGGTGATTATGATTAACAGCCACAAAACCCTCCACCAGTGTGGCAGTGGCACACGTCTGTGACACCTTTCCCACCCCACCCCCTGCCTGAGGAAGAAAGATTAAAGTTCAAGGCTAGCCTCGGCAGCCTAGTGAGACAAGTAAGTGAGGTAAGGGCTGGGGTACAGCTTAGTGGCACAACACTTGCCGAGCATTTCGTAAGGCCTCAGTTAATTCCTAGCACTGAAGAAAACAATTATGGCAGGGATAATTTGGGGAGCTGGGACGTGTGGCTAGCTCCGTGACACAGCACTGGCTCGTTATGCCAAAAGCCCTGGAATCCGCCTCCACCACTGCAAATAATTAGTAACAGTTTGAAAGGGGAATAAGCTCTCCATTCATCAGAGCTGACTGCAGTTTGCATTAACACTAATTTCTGGACGATACTGAAGCAGCCAGGAAATCAAGGAACGCTTTCCTACCTTCTGTAAAATCACAAAAGATTATTTAGGAAAGGAGAGCCACTGAGCCGTGTACCCAGTTCCATGATTTCACCTGGTCGTCCTGTGCAAGGACTCAAAGCCTCAGCCACAGGAACCACTCCCCCTGGCCCTCAATCCCCAGCCCCGGTCCGCCGTTCTCAGGCAGGGGATATCTGTCGAGAGACCTGTCACAGGATTCTCAGAGGAGCTCTCTGGGCAGAGGGCGGCGGCTGCAGGAGACAGGTCCTCCTCGTCCAGACCAACCCGTGGCCGCGGGTCTGACTCACCTACGCGGTCGCCCCAGCCCTGCAACTGGAGAAGGCGTCCAGGGGAGAGGCGCCAAGAGAGGGGAAGGCCCCGCCTCCCCGCTCCCCCACCCCGCCCTCGCTCGGCCTCCGATTGCTCACGCCTGGCCGCGAGCCGGCCGACGGCCGAGCGCGTCGCTCCCGCGTCTCCACACCGTGCCCGCTTGGCGAGCGCTGTCGCGACTGTTGCCCGGCGCCTGCAGGCTCTGTGTTCCGCCTGGCTCCGCGGCGGCCCGGCCCGATGGCGCCTCAGCGGAGGGGACCACCCAGAGTCCCCGAGGGGAGCAGAGCAGCCGAGCGCCGGCGCGCGAACAGGTAGCGAGGACCGTAGGGACCTGGAGGCCGCGCGCTAGCGGGCGGGGCCTGGCTGCCGTCGTGTGGGCGTGGCCATTCCGGGGCGGGGCCTGACGGGGCTGGGCGTGGTCATGACCGCGGAGTCTGAGGCCGAGCGGGGTGTGGCCATTCCGGAGGTGGAGCTTGACAGCGGGACGCGGTAAAGCTGAGGGGACGTGCGGGGCGCTTGGGTCTGGGTCGGTTCTTGCCTGGAGCTGTGGGGCGAGACCAGCCCTATTGCGATGTTATATGGCAGGATTTGAACAAAGGGCGTGGAAGTAGTGGGGGCCTGACGCGCTGGGGGCGTGGCCTGGTGGGAGTATTTTGCCGCATCCCTCCGGTAGCGAGAAGTCCACGTGGTTGTCCGCCTCCGAGCTCTGCGCAGAGGTCCTACTCTCAGGGAGCTTCTCCTGGGAGTCGATCTGCGTCCAGTCACCTGAGCAGGCCTTTCTCGCTAGGGACCATTTCTGAGCCTTTATGACTCCATTCTGCTCTGTATGCACCATCACCCCCCAACTCTGCTGATAACCTTTCACACCTCACCTGTCCGAACCCGGCCTTGTGAGCCTCTGTCTAACCTGCCCCTGAATTGTTAACTAAGGGATGGAGCCTTTAGGGACAGGGACTTAACTGGCAATTCTGCGCGACCTTTTCCGGACAGCAGAGCTCAGATATCCCAGTTATACACACAGATGTGTAGAGACACAGATACAGCGTCATCCGGGACTGTTTGGATAAACATAGACCTGGGTATTGAGACGTCTTAACTCACATATCATTTCAGACATTCTTCTGTGCTCTTTCTGGCCCTGTGATTTAAGTGGATACGATTCTTGTAAGTTGGTTCAAGTACACATGTGTTCTTACATGCTTGGGATGGGACAATCATACAGGGATGTGTGAGTGTGATTAAAGACTCACATTCCAAGCAACCCTCCAAACAGGAGCTCTGTGGGCTGGGTAGAAAGCAGCTATGGTCAGCCCATGTTTTTTTTGCCCATTGATTCACATGTTCAGCCCTGCCTGGTCAGAAAAGACAAGGCCACACTCTGCCTGAGAAGTTCCTCGGGGGGGGGGGGGGGTGCATGTGGGCATCCTGATACACTTTGTTGGGTTGTGGATGGAAGTAAATGCCCCATTTCCCACCACCTGCTTCGTAGTCAGCCCACAAGTACCTGCAGCATCTCAGGATTGACGGGAGTCAATCATCGTGATCAGAGGTCACTGCCCATGGCTCGTGCCATCCAGTGTGAACATCTTGTGGTTCTGATTGGCATGCTTAGTGTGACAGCTGCACCCAGAGGCTTTGTTCTCTGTTCTCAGCACCAAGAAGGACTCGCTGCCTCGGGAAGCACAGACACCATGCCTAAGGACTGTGGCCCTTGCGGTCAGCCTTGCTGTGGTCATGTTCCTGCTCTGGAATAGTCTTCAGGTCGAGGATGATGTTGCTGAAGTTGTAGCCCGTCGTGGTGAGGTGCTGGAAGGCAGATTCATTGAGGTTCCCTGCTCTGAGGACTATGATGGTCACCGAAGGTTTGAAGGTATGTGCCACAGGCTTCTCGATAAAGACTGACTGGTAGGGACTTGGAGGCCGACCCTGCAACATCTTTACTCTCCAAACAGGCGTGGGCTTGCCTACTTGGGAAAGGAAAGTTTGTCTTGCCCACCTGTATAATTATCAGCTGACTCCAGTTGTAGCAAAAGGCAATGTTTCATTTTTGTCACTGTGGTGTGTGTGTGTGTGTGTGTGTGTGTGTGTGTGTGTGTAAGAGTGTGCCTATGAATGTAGGTGCCTGCAGAAGAAGAAGTTGCATCTCCAGAAGGTGGAGTTACAGGCCATTGTGAGCTGCTAGTCAAGGAACTAAATCCAGGCCCCCTGGAAAAACAAGTGTTTATAAGTGCTGAGCCACCTCTCCAGGCCCACTCAGGTGTAGGCAGCATCTCAGCAAGCTTCTGTGTCCAGAGGCTGCCTGCAGAGAAGTAATGGGATAGGAAGATGAGAAGGGTCAGCAAGATGGCTTGGCAGTTAAAAGTACCTAACAGCAAGCCAGATGACAGGAGTTCAATATCCTGAGCCCATATGGTAGAAGAGAACCAACTCCTGTCAGTAGTCCTCTGACCTCTATATGTGTCGTCTGTCCACACATAAAATTAGAGATGTTTTAAGAAGAGGTCCAGGGAGTTGAGGGTAAGTGGGTGACCAAAGGTGTTGATAAAGAACACCCAGAAAATGTGGTGACAAGAATGTCACTCGAGGTCAGAGCCCTGCAGCTCTGCTGATAGCATTGGCTGAGGCAGGAAGGAGCAGCCTGCTGGCTATAAGCTGGAGACCTGGTGTTTGGGTGCAGGGGAAATAGAGGGGGAGGCACAGTGTCAGGGAGGCAGGGCCAGGTGAGGACAGTCAGGGCCCTGGAGAGTGCACCCCAGAGACTGGGGGTTGGGCACAAACCTCCTGGATGCTGTTTTCCTGAACATTCCGTACATCCAGCTTCATTCTGTTTCTCAAATGTAGCATTGGGCCTGGCTCTCTAAGGACTTTTTTTTTAAGTAATGTTTTGGACTTGAATGGAGAGAAGATAGCATGTTCTTCCACAAAGGGGCACTGTTGTGATGCAGAGAAACTCAGCCATGCGATGTAAGGGGAGTGTTCTGTGAACCGGTGGCCAGGACAGAGAGCACAGCATCTCTTCTTCAGCAGTCAGTGAAATAAATGTGTCAGGTGTGTGGGTGGAGGCTTCAGACGTCCTAATTTTCAACCTGCACACACACACTTTTACACGTGCACGCACACACACACACAACTATAAATGGCAGTGTAACAGCCAGTGTATCTTACAGGAAGATGCCCAGAGCGTAAAGCCCCATCTCCTCAGTAAAGGCATCGCCCAGCTCACGCGGCGAGGGAACAACCCTTCGCTGCCAGAGTACAGGCACTGGTTGTTTGCTGAGCTTGCCTCTGATGCTCTTCTCCATCCTGGCCACCTCTCCACCACCCTAAATGCCATCATGCTCACCCTCTCCCCATCTAAGCTGCTTCTGACTGCCTCTCAGTGTCTGCATGACACCAGGGTGGAAGCAGATGCAGAAATGAGTTTGGCAGGCAGGGATGGTGACCAGAACAGCAGGTTCATTTTGGGCTGTGCCAGAACTTTGCAGTGGGTGTTTAAGAGTGTTCAAACCAGCAAGCAGGGTATGGAATGTTGCCAGACTGTTAGTGGAATAGCACAGGCGTGTATTCTCACAACTCAGAGGCTAAGGCAGGAAGTTCTTGAATTTGAGGCAGCCTGAACTACATAGTGAGCATGTTTCTGACAAGACAAAGCAAACCAAAATGTCAATGCAGTGTCTGGGGTGGGAAGGAGATGTGAACTTGGAGGTTTTGCACAGGGCACAGTAAAGTGTTACCACTTTTATCTGAAGTTGACTTTTAACTAGGTGTGTTAGCTGAACTGGTCCCTAGTCATGGTGGAGGGCTTTACTAGCTCAGCCATGATCTTGGGGCAGACTTTGGAAGTGAAGATTTCTGCTTGGCTGTCACCCTTCAGGCTGCACCCCCAGGAAGTGTGGCAGAGGTGTTACTGACGTGGTGATCACCAGGGAGGAGGCGGAGCAAATTCGCAGGTACCCATGCCTCTCTGTGCTTTGCTTGGGGCAACCATGAACTGGGCTAACGGGAGTGAGCTGGGCTGACAGCAGAGCTGAGAGAACTCTCATAGTTCTGTAGACCATCCTCAATAGGTAATTGTTTTATCTCTCTGTGGCTCATAAATGCTAGCTCAGAGCAGCCAGTGCTGGAGTTTTCTTTGTGGGGATTTTAAAAACAATAGCTTAAAAAGAAAATTTTAGTTTTCTGACCAGCTGTTCAGACTCAGTATGTGGCTCTTCATTTGGCCCTTGGGTCCCATTCTCCTCCATCCTCATGTCCTACTACAGTGCCCAAAGGGAGCCTGTCCTCTGTGTCCTGCTTTCCACCCTGATCCTCTGTCTCTACCATAGCCGAGGATTACTCACCTTTACTGATGGGTTAGTGTTGCTGGGTGGCCTTGTCAAAGCCGCTTGCTCTTCAGTAGGGTGGTCCTCTCTGGGCTGGTATTGCTCTTTTTCAGTCTGTGCTGTGATTACCAAAATCCCCATCTACTGGGGAGCTGTCAGACCACAGACAAACTAAGAGGAGCCTTTGCTATCATCAGGAATTAGGCCAGTGGTTTCCAAGCAGATCATGTGTTGGTAGCAAGAGGATGCTGATCCTCAGCTTCGAAAGTTCTAGTTGAGCGTTTCCATGATTGTTTACACTATAAATGTTAAACACATAAAACATATAAATTAGACAGTATTATACTGATTGATGTTCTGCCTAGATGTTTATGGATAATGCTGTCAACTAAATTCTGGTTTAAAATTGTTCCCCCCAACAGAATAGCAGAGAA